CCTGTTTGTTTGATATATATTTTAAAGCTTCAAATATAACACTAATTATGAGTATGACACTCTTGATCATCAGACCAATTCTTCTGCTTGTATGTTTATTTCTTCACATTTTTGTGTCTATGTACAATTCCTGATTCCCAAATTACCGTCAGACGCGATGTAATTCTATTTATGCATGCGTAACCTACCTAGCAATGGGCAAGGGTAGGACAAAAATATAAAAGTCAAAAAAACAATGGTAGACATGCAACCCGAAGTCATTTGAAACAGCTGAAAAACATGGATTTCAAGAAAAACAAAAAAATGGAATGAAATAGAGATGGTATGTGTGTGTTTCGCAATGTAAATATGACCTTGACATAGTTTTTCAACTCCCTAAATACCTGCAAAAAATTTGAAAATATTACACTATAGCCAAAGATAATTTGCATGTTCATCAATCTTGCTTGGGCAGAATAGTATGCACATTTTCTGAGGCTGGTACAAGTTAGTTGAAGGATGATGGCAGTCTTATTTCAAAGGATTTTTTACGTTGCAAGTTCAAAACATTGGTGTAATGATATTTGTTGACCTCAGGTCACATATTATGCAGAAACGCACAAACAATAACATGCAAACGCTACCAATTCTGGAACCGGGAATTGTAATCAGCCACATTTTTAGTCCTATGAAGATTAGTAAGCACCATTTTTTTTTAATATGCACAATAGGTTCATGCATATGTAAATTATTTTTCAACTTGTTTCTTTATTGAATTTGAGCCGTGTTCCATGCTTCCCCCATACAGTAAATATCGTTGATATAATTGCATTTATTGGCGATCCGCTCCGCTAGGATTGCCCTTATAATCATTTTTGTCGTTTTGTGTGTGTGTGTGTCTGTGTGTGTACATTTCCAGTGTTCCAGTGTTCACATATTATTTCTTCTGTGATTTTTTTGGCTTGGCCGATTTCGTTCAAACTTGGCAGGTAGGTCACACCTTAACCCTAGTTATAAGGAAAAATCTGGAAAATTTTTTTGGCCCACCGTTGCCATAGCAACAGCCAAAAAACTGATTTTTGGATAGCTTCGCGCCAAATGTATCTCCTCCTACAAATTTGGGATAAAATACTTCAAACATAGCTCATTCTACTCTGCTTGAGTGTGGGCACAAAGTTACCATTTGAATTTTTGATATCTGTTTTCATTACCGAGAAATTTGACCCCAAAGTTGGGGTAACTTTTCACCAGCAACGGCTCGGCTGGTTTTGTTCATACTTCACAGGTAGGTCGTGCCGTCACTAATTGGAAAAAAATCCTGGCCCACCACTGCCATTGCAACATCCAAAAACTGATTTTTGAATACTTTCGCCCCAAATGTATTACCTCCTACCAGTTTTGTACACAGTCAGCTGGCATCGGTGTCGCTGGGTGTATATGATAAAGGGAAGTTGTGCAACCAAATTTGCCGAGTTCGCAGTTTTTCGCCAATAAAAAAATAACTAAGGCAACAACTCACGGTTTTTCAGCATTTTTGTAATAAAGACATTATTCTCTATCAATAATCCGCCCAAAACAGGAACATTTCTACTAATTCTTGTGTTTTTTAGACGTTTTTCGAAAAACCTGCTATTAGGCTGTAAAAGTAGAACATTCCGGAGGGGGCGAAAGGGAAGAGCCAAATTTAACGCGTAAAAATAGAACGCGTATTTTGACCTCTATGCGGTCGTTGCCAAAGAGCCCTGCGTCCATCGCCTGGCGATGCTCTTCTGTTTCACCAGTTGCGTTTTTTGACTAAAATTTGGGCAGTACTGTCAGTCACGAAAATTGATGAATAAATTAATACACATAAAATATGAATCACGGGCTAATTCAATGGTCACCGAACACTCCACTACTAAACAATCTGTGGCAAGA